GGTGGGCTGGCATTCCAGGTTCTCCCAATTCCAGGTTCTCCCATTCCATGGTGGGCTCCCATTCCAGGTTCTCCCATCCATGGTGGGCTGGCATTCCAGGTTCTCCCAATTCCAAGCTCTCCCATTCATGGTGGGCTCCCGTTCCAGGTTCTCCCATCCATAGTGGGCTCCCATTCCAGGTTCTCCCACCCATGGTGGGCTGGCACTCCAGGTTCTCCCATTCATGGTGGGCTGGCACTCCAGGTTCTCCCAATTCCAGGTTCTCCCATTCCAGCAGGACCTCCAGCCTGCTCAAGCAAGAATTCCCAGGATTTTTGAGGTGAAAGCAGCTCCAGGCCAAATCCTCCCTGGGGACATTCCGGTTACCAGCTCCAGATCCAGCAGGATCTCAGCTGGGATCAGTGGATTTGGAATTCCAAGAGCCAGGATCACTGGGAATGGTCCAGCCAAACCAGGACACACAAGGGGTTGGGATGTGTCCTGGAGGATGAGGAGGAAGAGGAAGGCAGAATGGGAATGGTTCCAGAGCACCTGGATAATGGGAAGAAGACAAATCCCAGCCTGGAAATTTCAATTTCCCAGGAAAAGCTGGAATTGTAAAGCCTGAAGGAATCAGATCCTAAAAAAGGACCAGGATGGGAGAGGAAGAACTTCAATAAGAAAATTCCTGGGATGAGATAAAACCACGTGGAAAAAAGAAACCCAAACCCCCAACAAAGTTACTCCTCCCACTCTGTGCCACCCTGGAAGCCAAAATCCCATTTCCCCACTCCCCTTTCCCAGTTTTCCTATGGAAAAGGACATTTTGCAGGGTTGGGATATCCCCTCAGCCACTCCAGGCCCATTCCCAGCTCAGGGAAAGCCAAACTCAGCTCCCAAATCCCAAAAAGAACTCCCAGCAAAAGTGAATCCCATCCCAAGCAGAACATCAACACCTGCCCTGAAATCCACTGGAATATTCCCAAAATTCTGCCCCATCCCAGCAGGGGAATCCCATCCCTTTGGGGCAGGTTTTTATCCAAGAAAATAAAAATCAGGACAAGCCTTTCAACCAAGAATTCCAGAAACAAAACCAAAATCAGGCATTTTAACACCAGGAACTTCCCTCAAATTCCCATTTCAGAGCAGCACAAAGTTTGATAAATCGATTTAAACACCAGCAACAGGTCCCTGACACCATCACNTCCCTTCTCCAGGAGAACATTCCCAGCTGATCCCTGGGAAGGGCAATCCCAGAACTCCAGAGCACAACACAAAAGCCGAACGACGCCTTCCTTGCTTTCCCCCCAACTTCCTGCCTCCGTTTTTCCAGGCTTCCCAATGCAGATGGAGAAACAGAAAGTTCTGGATTTTAAACTCTTCCCTGGTGTTTGCAGAGCCTGAATTAGAACACAGAGCAAGAATTCCTGCATAGAGGGAAAGGACAAGGAACCTGCTCCAGCACAGAATCCCGGGATTATCCTGGCTGGAAAACACCTCTGGGATCATCTCATCCAAGCTGTGCCCACTGCCCACCCTGGCACTGAGTGCCACCACCAGGGATGGGCACCCCAAAGCTCCCTGGGCACCTCCAAGGCCTTTCCAAGACAAAATTCCAGCCTGAGCCTCCCCTGAGCCAGCCTGAGGCCGTTCCCTGTTATCCCGCAATTCCCTGGGATCAGATCCCAACTCCCCCTCGCTGCCAAGGGATTTGTGCAGAGCCCCAAGGTCCCTCTGGAGCCTCCTTTTCTCCAGGAGCCTCAGGAGAAGGCACAAGAGGATTTCTCCTGTTACACACAAGGTTCATCCAAAAGGAAATTCCAAAAGGAGAATTTCCTGAGTTGTCCCTATAAATAGCATGGAATTTTCTGGCTCTGGGCAGATAAACAAAGCTGGAAGCAAAGCTGCTGTGCCCTTCCAAGAGCTTCTCCAGAACTGACCTCACCATGTCCACTCCCAAGACCTGGATCTCCTTTGGAGATCCCCTGCCCTTCCTTTGTTTGATGGCAAAATCTTGGAATGTTCTGGAAGAACCTGGATTTTCTCCTCCTTCCTGTGCTGCCCATCCAGAGGGTGCCATGGTCCTTCCCTCTGGAGAATTCCTCACCCACAGATGTTCTCTCATCAAGGGGAGGACTTGGGCAAGGCATTCCCAGCCCTTTTCCTGCAGCTGGGAATTCCTTCCCATGATTTGGATGGCTCTGGATATTTCACCACCCTCTGGATCTGTGGGATTGTCACCTCCAGACCTCGAGGGGACATCCCAGTTCCAGTAGGAGCTCCTGGAGTGTCTGGGTTATCCATGGTGTCCATCCATGTAATCCTTCCATCCTGGGATCTTCCAGCTCCTCCCAAATCCAGCAGAGCACG